GCATTTACATATCTGTCCTGTACCTAATACCGTGAGCTCAAAAGTAAGTTAAAAAGAAGTGCATTCAGTTAATGTGGATGGTATTCCCAACTAAGTCCGAAAAATAGTACTACATCCGTTTTTTTTTTCCATAGTCGTTTTATCAAAATTTGTTATTTTTTTATTGTTATTTTACTAAAATTAATAATTTATTAATTTTTTTTCTCCATTTTTATCCTTGATAATTAATACATGTTTACTGAACAATATGTATATTTATTTTTAATATCTACCTATTTTTTCTTCAACTACTCATATAAAGTTAATGTGCATTTATAAGAGCAATATATTCCTAACAAAATACTATAAAAAAACAAATAAAGGGACATGTATAATTAAATACAGTAGGTTACAGTTCACGTGTAATCAATTTATTAATAATTAATAGAATAGATTATAGTTCAACAGTCTAAAAAATGCAAAAAAAAGTAAAAGGTAAAATAGAAAAGTAAATAATAAATATTTTTAAAAATTAAAATATCAATGATTTCCTTAAATCTTGTCCAAAATCTTAAACGACTATGAAAGAAAAAGGAAAGAATATTAACTGATAGCCAAAATTGATGATAGTGACATTGCTGGGTCTGGCAATCCTAAATTCCTAATAATGACACCAGTGATATAAGTTGTGGGAAAAGTGAGGGCACATATACATTAGTTATAGTGTACGGTAGGTTGGTGTACCATTTTTTTTGTGGGTATCGGAACCATTGGAAATGTTGGTTTTCTTAGTTTAATTCTATGGTTGAGAAGTAAATATAACTTCCAGACATAAACTAACCTTCCAAATAAAGATACCTATCTGCTTCTAAGGGATCTTCCTTATACCTAAGTTGCCATTGATGAAAAGCAAGTATGATTTTGACAAAAACTTTTATCGATTAAATAATTAAGTCATTTTTCCTCTCTCATATTGTTCCTATATCTATTTTTTATGTTTCTTGGTATAAATCATCATTGGCCTCTCCACCTTGGATTTTGTAGGAGTGAACCACGTCCGGAGAAGATTAAACTAAATATAATATCAATGGGATCAACATCGGTCTTAGAAAAGATGTAAAATGTTATTTTAATCAATGTTATGTATATAAAAAACTTTAATGAAAAAAAAAGTTTTATTATATACATAACTCTGATTGAAATCAAATACAAATAAATAAATAAGTAAAATACATTAGTCAGATAAAGAATCACGAGCCTTAATGACTATCTTAGTCTTAAACTATGTTCACAATCTAACATTTATCTGATCCAAATTATATATATATATATATATATATATATAAAAGCACGTCATACAGAAAAATTTATATAAGCGAGATGATTTATATATATGCTTAATCTTTCTATATTTTTGATTAGTTGATTTTTAAATTTATATTTTATGATTCTCAATTGTAACATTACTATTAAATATATCCGTGAATAAAAGACACTTCGTGTCTTGTTAATAATGTTCTAGACCGAAACATGAAAGCTACAAAATGTTTGGCCAGATTATTTTTTATAAATAATGATTTTTATTTGAATAATAAAATAAAATTATTGAATTATCCTACACTAAAAGAAAATAGTGTGCAAATATCATAATAAATAAAGAGTAAAAAGATCTTAAAAAACATATACATGAAAAATGGATCATCTTTTTACATAATTATAGATAAACATAATATATAGTATAAATTAATGTATTTATTTGTTTACAATTTTTAATATTAAAATTTAGATTAATTAATTTTTATTGTCATTTATTTAGATACAAAAAGTCATTACCGATTTTCTAGGTCTAATTTTAATAAATATTTCCTATTTAATTATATCTGTTTATTGTTTAAAAATTGAACATATTAATAAATAAAAACTTTAAATTCGTTGTAGAGCCATAGGAAATTATAATTTAAAAATATTATTAAAATGTTAAATCTCTAAAGCAATAAATACGCATGAACCTTAAAAAAATAAAAAAATAAAAAGACATTTGCACACACTATTGGGTAGAGATACACATTTTTAGTATTTGATGATCAAAAGATTGTTACTCTTTCATTTAAATAAAATTCTTTTAATGAAAACTCTTAAAACATGTTTCAGAAGTTAAAATTTAAACTTTTAATGTGATTCTTGATAGTATGTGATATATGAAAAATGGGTTATTCCACTCATAATTTTTCTAATGATTTTTTTAAAATGTACCATAGTTATGAAACTTCAACACTAATGTAATTGATTATTTTACTATACTATAATTAAGAATTATGGTAAGTGAATTTATAACTTATTATATTAAATTTATAACTTATACTAAAGTTAATCTAATTGTTTAACTGTTATGTTGATTATTTTACTGCGTCGTTATTAAGAATTATGGCAAATAAATTTATTAAATATTACATTAATTAAATTTATAATTTATATTGTTAATTTACAGGGATACAAACGTAACGTGAGTCGGTGATGCATTGTTTCCACACCTAATATAAAAAGTAATACACAACAACAGTACAAAAAAAAAACAGTGATGAATCAGCAGAATTGTTTTTTTTTTAATTAAAAGGACTTATTAATTTTTTTATAGATAATTTATCCACGGATGGACCATTTGGCAAACTTCCTCACCCTCTGATTATATATGTATTAGTTTATTTACTACAGTAACTTCATCTCCCCAATTGATTCATGATTTGTCAAATATTATGAAAAGGTACATATCAGATTTTTCTCCTTTATATTGGTGGAGAGAGAGAGATTGAGGGTTTTGTTCTCAATTGAAGAAAACGGCTGAGTTAGCAACCCTAGGCCTAGAGAAATGGTGGGTGAAAGATTTCCCTCACTTTTTAGACAAGCAACTTAATTGGGGGAAGGTTAGGCCAACAGTCAATGCATGATTTTTCCCACATTAAATATTAATATATAACGGAATGTTTACTAATGCTGCAAGTCATTTTTCTTTTTATCTGATAATTAATGAACAGTGTAGACATTTTCAAGTATAATTATTATTATTATAGATTTACATTCACAAGTATTCCCTTCTATGCTTATTTGTTTGTTGGTCTTGCAAAGAAAACATATATTTACCTTCACACACATATTTCACTTTTAGAGTTGTAAAAATGGAAACTGGCTTTAGAATAGAAGCTGGCAGTTTACTTATCTAAAGTCATTTGCTTATTAGACTCTTTAATTAGCCAATTGTTAATGATTAAACAGCAATTTGAAAGCAATAGTTGTTAAATAATGGCCATCAACGAAAATATTGTTATTAATACATTTTCATCAGTTGCGTAATATCAATCAGTTCCTAACCGAATTTCAGCAACTATTCATGCTTGTTAAAATCTTATCCTCATGTTCTACTTTGGCATTAATTGTGGGTCATATATACTAGTTGACATCCATGCACTGGTATGGTAGGGGTAAAAAATTTGGATTAAGATCCTCTCTAAAAGAAATTCTTTCATTATATTACCAACTTCTATCACATTACTACCATAAATTTCATTTCCCGAATAAAATTTATAATAATTAGATAATTATTTAATATTTTTCTCAGAATTTACTATTTGATTACTTTTAAAATATATAAAAATTAATCATAAAAAATATCAAAATAAAAATTATATATTTATAATTAATTGTTCAATTTGAATAACATATAATATAAAATTAAGATAATATATAGTTACTATTGTCATCCTCTATCTATGATTTTTATTCATAAAAAAATAATTATTGTTTAATGCTTGTATATCTATAATAAATAAAAAAACATTGTATTTTATCTTATTGATATTGTAATAGTTTCTGGATTTTATCTTGTGTCGGTTGAACAATATTCTTCTCATATTTTTTTCCTTAAATAATTTATATCAAGACATTTAAATAAAATAAAATATAAAAGGGAACATTAAAAATTATAATAATAAAAAAAGTTCAAAATCAAAATATATTAAATTTATATAATATTACAGAAGGAAAATTTTATCGTACACAATAGTTCTTTTTAATTTAAATAACATTGTCTTCAATGGAGACAATTATTTATATATATATATATATATATATATATATATATATATTGTCAATATAAATAAGTTTATTTAATTTTATATTGAAATTTTATTATAATTTAAATACCATTAGAGGGAACAGGTTAAATTCAAGAATAAAAACCCAAAACCTGACCACAAGTCTAAACCTAATTAAAATTAGATTTTGATCTATCAAAGTTGAAACAGAAGTGATCAGTACCTTCAAGTATATGCATTTTTTTGGAACAAATTTTCTTTTTCTTTTTTTTTTTAGAATGATCAAATGGAACTTATTTGTTCTCTAATAATGGAGGGTGGGAAGTTTTGAGTCCACGTGCAGGTGCAGCTAAGGATTCTAAGCTAAATGTTGTTAGTTACGCCTGAAAACTGATCAAAACCTAAATCACCCATCCGTGTGCTTACAACTTTCAAATGGTCTAACCAGAATACCAACCCCCATCTTTTTCCTTACTTTCAAACATAATTCATTTTGTTGTGTTACCTGTGAGACAAATATGCTCCAACGGCCATTCTTAAGTAAATGTTATCCCTTTTGTTGATTTTTTTTTTTCTATATATAGTTGCAATCAAAACATGTCTGCAATGCATTGTTAAATTTTCTAAAAGCGTTTAATTTGGATCAATGAATTATCACTCTAATTACACGTATAATTAATAATGGGAAGCGAGGTATATGATACGTACTTTGCAGCGGATGTCACATACTTTTGGCAAAATCAATCCTAATAAATAAATATTAAAAATAAGCAAGCTCGGTGGGTTATAAGTAGACGTTGTAGGTTAGAAACTGGGAAAGACGTTGAAAGCAGAACCAAACTCTCTCCACTAAGCAACCTCTTTTTTCCCCCTCACATCACATGTATATATATATATTTATGTTACTTATAATAAGAGGGTTTGTTAGCCAAAACGTTTGCATCAATCGCAGGTGCAAGGTCTGCCCAAACCTTCCCACTCTCTAACGGAAAACACTTTCCCACCATATATTCTCTTTACCCTCCCTAGTCCCTTCCTAGCTTACTTCGTTTCCATTTCTCTTTGCATCTCTATTATTCTTTTCTCGTCTTATACCTTAATTAGAGGGCTTGGTAAAACAACCAAGCAATAAGCTAGTGTAGAGGATTGATCTTGAGTTAGGGTTTTGTTTTCTGCTCTTATTTTATATATAGTAGCTAGGAGAGAAAATATGTGCAGTAGAGGTCATTGGAGACCAGCTGAGGATGATAAACTTCGAGAGTTGGTGGAACACTATGGACCCCATAATTGGAACGCTATAGCTGAGAAGCTCCGAGGAAGATCAGGTGACATCAATATTCATTAATTAATCTTCTGGATAGATAGCTTGTTAATTAATTATAACTTTTAATTAACCTAGACATGATCAGTTTCACTAGTTAGAAATCAACATTACCATATTTTAATTTACTCTTCCCTTGCTATCTAGCTAAAGATTTGTCTGTAGTGGACAGTGGTGTAAACTTAAATTATATTACTTCAGGGAAGAGTTGCAGATTGAGATGGTTCAATCAATTGGACCCAAGAATAAATAGAAATCCATTCACAGAGGAAGAAGAAGATCGTCTTGTAGCTTCTCACCGAATTCATGGTAATAGATGGGCTGTGATTGCAAGACTTTTCCCTGGACGGACCGATAACGCTGTCAAGAATCACTGGCATGTCATGATGGCAAGGATTCGTCGAGAAAGATCTAAACAACGCCCTGCACCTCATCAAACAAACCCTTACTATAACACTAGCGTTAACTATGACACAACAACACCTTCTAGCCATGATAAGTTTAGCTACACTACTCTTCTCCCTTTCCAATTTACCGACAATAACTTTCACTTTCAACGTCCAAGTTCTAGTTCCACAATGCTTCAAGGTAACATATATATAGGTATTGATCTTTACACAGTTTCAATTCCCGCATTCTTATATAATTAATTCATATATAACTATAATTATATGTCTGTATGTCTTTTTTCCGTACGTACACTTTGTTTAATATTACAGATAGAAGTCAATCAGTTGAGTTCTACGATTTTCTTCAAGTAAATACGGATTCCAACAAAAGCGAAGTGACAGACAATGCCAGAAGAGATGAAGAGGAAGTCAATCAAGATGGTGTCCCATTCATTGATTTCTTGTCTGTTGAAGGCTCCTAACACCACTGCAAAAAGATCACATGCTGACAAGAACTAAGTCTCAACCCTGATCCCTGCAAGTTATGTATTTAAGGGTAGTTATGTTACCTTATACGATACAATACTTCTTTATAACACTATTTTTCTTTTCATATTTCTTATCTTTCTCTTTTGTAACACAAAAAATTGTACAAATTTATAGTAAAAAATATTCTTTCTCATTATATATGGTTGTAAATATATTTCATATTTTTAATTAACATGATTAACATTAATTAACTATATGTGAGTTTCAGTTGTTAAATTCAATTGAAACTTAAACTATGCTATGAAATAAACCACAAATATTCTACTTAATTCTCCGGGTAGTCAATCAAATATTTCATAGAAATTAATAAAATTTCTCTCTCTATATATATATATTGTAAATTACCATTTTACTTTTCATTTTTCTTGAGTGTCATAAATAAACTGTTTTTGGACTTAAAATAAATTAACTATAAGTAAACTAGTCAAAATAAAATAAAATAAAATAAAAAACTAGGGCAAAATAGTCATTTTACGTGTCAGGGTTACCACCAATTGATTGCTCAAATAAAAGTAATTTTCATGAACTAGAATTAATCTCATGCATAAGTATTTTTTCATGTGCATTTGGATATAATTAATTTCATTGTCCAAAGATCAGATAAGATCAATTTTTTGATAGGAGTAACAATTTGTGAAAAACTTACTTTGACTTCCATCTTTACTTTAAAAAAAAATAAAAAATTAGAAGAGATGTGTTATTTAGAAGAGCTCGTTATACTTTTATTCAAGGGTTCTATATATCAAACGAAAGTGTAACACAAAATTCAAGTGCTAATATTTTTCTAATTTTAAATTTGAAGTAATAATTTCATAAATCTGAATAAAAAGAATGATATCATTATTTTTATCTAAACAATGTCCTAAATTTTGGAACATAACATAATTCTTAAAATCTAAAGGTCCGTTTGGTTTCAAAAAATATTTTTTTGTTTTCATTTTCTATTTTTATTTTCAGAAAATAACTTTATTTTCAATAAAAATTCATAAAATGTTTATAACATAAAACTTATAAACAAATTTTGAATAATAAATTTAATATATTATTTAATTAAGTTATTGTATTATTTATATATAATAAATAAATAGATATAAATATAATTAATATTACATCTTAACTTTTACAAATATATATAAATAACTTGTATTGCAACAAAAAAAAATATTTTTATTTATTTATAAATTATTTTAAAATATTAACATTTAGTTCATAAATAATTATGATGAAAATAAATAAATTAAATAAGTTAAAAAAATTACAAATCCTTTTTTTAAGAAAAATTCATAAAAAATACTTTCGCGTAAAATAAAAATTTGTGTTTAATATGTAGAGATTAATATATATATGTTTATTATATAATTAAAATTTATACTAAGTTATATACGTAAATATTTTTAAATACATAAATTATATTTTATATTTATAATAAATAATTTGTATTGTGGCTAAAAAAATATTTTTATTAATTGATAATTTATTTTAAAATATTAATATTTAATTCATAAATAATTTTAATAAATAAAAACTGAATTATATAAGAAATTAAAAAAATTCATACGAATTCTCTCATTGAAAAAATACCCATACACTATAGGAATACTCTCGTGTAAGATAAATCTTTACGTTTAGTATATAAGAATTTATATATATGAAATAAAGTAAAAAGAATATATGAAATAATAGAATTCTTTAATAAGTTAAGTTATTGGCAAAATAAAAAGATTGTAAAGATAGTAATCAATCGGTTCAATTAAATTATGATTAAATAAAAAGATTAAAAAAAAGTAGTTTCAATTCTATATATATATATATATATATAAAATAAAATAAAAAAGTTTAAAGATAGTTATGAACAAATTTTTTTAGAAAATAAGGCAAAAAGAGTTGGGAGGGGGAAAAAAGAATCTAATAATTATAGTGGTACAATGCTTTTTCATTTGAAAATGATAGTTTTATGTTATCAAAATTCAGCTGTTTTTAAAAATATTTTTACAGAAAACATTTTCTAAAATTAAAACGAAATACATTTTCAAACTTATTTTTTCTTTTCTTTGAAAATGGAAACAAAAACAGTTAAATAAGCAAGCCCTAAATTATCAATTTTCAAATTACAAATATTTAGACGTATATTTTCAACAAATTTAATTAATTATTGGCTGTCATTTTGTCTAGCCTTCAATAAGTTGATTAGGAAAATGACAGTTTAATAATTAACTTAAAAATGTATTTTGTTTGGGTTAAAAATAATAGTCCCTGCCTTAGAGATAAAGTCGAATTCATGCAAAAGTCATCCTTTTGGACTATGACTTATGGGACCAAAACTAATTATGACTTCGAGCTATGTCTCCTAATTTGAATGCTTCTTGCAGTCTCTCTGACTTGCGGTGTTTGGTATAACATTTAAGTGTAAATCAAATGTTCATCAAATGAGAGATAAATTATAATAGTCGATTTAGTGTTAAAAAATAAATTGATGTAATATAAATAAGATTTAAGTTTGAATTTTATTATTATTATTATTATTATTATTATTATTATTATTATTATTATTATTATTATTATTATTATTATAAATAAATAAATAATGTTAAAGGATAATTATCACGTCCATAATTTCTTCTATGGAAACTATATAGGATGGTAGTTAATTTATTCACCTTTTAAGCTAAACCCTGCCTAGCCTGATATCTGTCATCATTTTTTCCCCCTTTTTTTATGAAAAGTACTGGTTAATAAATAAAAAATATTAAAAAAGTATATCTATGTATTTTTTAGTATAATTTTATTTTAGTTTTCAAAAAAAAGTGTATCATAAATTAAGGATGCCTCTTTTTTTTTCTCTTTATTTTTAATTTTTTAATTAATTTTCTATTTTTCAAATCATGACCTATTTTATTCTACTAAAATTTTAAAATCAAATCATGAATCTTCACCGCAAGCTTCTTTATAATATGTTATATCATTGATCCATTTTTTTAATATGTAGTGATCTTTAAAAATAACATATAGTCTCATTCTTTTTTAGCAATTATATATTTAATTTAATTATTTATATATTTTACACTTTTAAAATTTGAAACTTAGGATCATTAGTAATATTCAAATAACTATAAGGGTGTCATTCACTTTGCTCAAGACACCAAAATACTTAACACTATTATATTTTACTTCTTTAACAATATTTATCGACTTATATTTATTAAAATTACTATAAATCAAGTAATAAGTTATTTTACATTTTTTCTGAAAAATGTTACTATAAATAGCATAACATTTTCATCTCAATATTATTTTTTTATTGTTTTCTAAATTAAAATCTCTCGTCGAATAAAAAAATGTAACGTAAAAAATATATTTCTCCAATTTTTAATTATTTTTCAAAATTAAAATTTCACATTAAGTAAATGAATGACATACAAAAAATATATATAATCATATAGTAATACTTAAGATAAATAAATTTTGATATTTGACATTAATTTGGTAATAACTAATTAAGGATGTTTTCAACTTTTAAAAACTTGTAGGAGACTAAGAGTCATAAGGTATAAGTAATAATAATATCTATATTAAAATTAATTATTATGTTATAAGATTAACTAAAACTTAGAATTATTAAAATATTACAAAAATAATATTTTAGTAACATTTGAAAAATATTACCAAATCATGCAAAAGCCACCGAGGGAGAGGGAACAAAAGTTCTCTCATTCTTGTACTTGCACCTATAATGTTAAAAATTACCGTGATCCATTGGAAACTATAAAATTTTAAAAATATAGTAACAAAATCCTCAGGGCATGTTTACTTTTTTATTTTATTTTCTGTTTTCACTTTTTAATTATAAAATTTACACTTTGCATCTAGATTTAGGCAAGAAACAGAGACAATAAATAAAAGTTATTTTCAGTGTTTCCCTTACAAATCCTTAAAAATAGAAGACAGCTTACGACAAATTTGAAAGTAAACAAAAAAAAAAACAAGTAAAAAAAATTAAGGGTTCATAATTCAATTTGAAAAGCATATATCGACCTTTATTGCTTCAATATTATCCGTTGCTTTTCGGTACGTTATATACATATTAATTTTTCTTGACAAAATACATACTGTGCATAAAAGCTAATGTAGTTAGCTATTATGAATCAAATGACCACCCATTAAACTCTACTCAATAATTTACTGCAAAAGTCATGGCGTTACACCGCTATAACCCTGTAACCATTAAATTACATGTACAAACATGAAACTGGGGGTAAAACATAACGTCAATAAAGAACAGCGGTAGTTGCAAAATATTAGGAAAAAAAAATGCATATGCTCATGGAAGCACTTAATTTTAGATAATACTACTTTATTTTTCATGTATTTTTATTTTAAATGTGTATAAAATGCTTATTTTATTATTTACACTAATTTTTCTATAATATTTTTAAAAAAATGGAATAAAAAATAAAATAAAACTAATATTTTTGTAGTTAAAAATGAAAATCTCAAACCATATACCTTCTTAAATTTTTCTGCAAAAAAAAGAATTATGTCATTGCTTAATAATGTCAAATCCCCAAAAAAAATCCCCAAATCCCAATACTGTTAGTAAAACCTAACACAATTCCTTAATGTCAAGATACAATTTGATTGCTCCCAACGGAAAGTGGGCCTAGGCAATTTGAGTTTCACGTTCCACGTAAGCACGTCTTAAATGATTCACATTGTCAGCAGCTTTGCTTTAATCTTGATTGGTGCTCCCAACTATGGTGTCACACACCATGCAAAATTGGATCGAGTATGTATATCACAACAAATATTACTAGATAGCCTAAAAGAATTATCACACCATGTACAAGATTCTAAGATTTCCCTGTCCAGCAGAACAAAGAAAGCAGAAACCTAACATTACATCGTTTGATCGTATGGTTTGTCACTGGAATACAGTTTGGTTAGGGGAAGGACGGACAGACACTTCCCACAAAACCAAAACACCTTTCAATGTAGTATGCATTTATGCTGAAGGGCACAACTCTTTCCATTTCATCTTTAAAATAGATAATGAAAAGCAGCGAGAATATGTCAGTGGGGCCTTCACTCTGAAACGATGAACCTGACCCAACTTAGGGTAGGTGACACTATCACCATAAAGAACTCTCCAATTATTTCAAGATGATATGGGTTCATAAGGGTATGATAGCCATGGATGCTTCAGGGCCTCAGATGCAGAGGGCCTCTTCTTAGGGTTGACTTCAAGCAAGTGAGCAACAAAGTCAATGAAGCCTTGATCTCCCATTGGCAATCTATGCCTCAAGGATGTCTTTTTCGGAATCAAGTATTCTAACCTGTTGGTTTCCTGTAGAATAATAAACAATACATTTACTGACAATTATTCAAGTAAAAAATGTGGAGGCAACAGCAATTTTAATATAACATGGTAAGAACTAAAATATCAAGCAGCTAAAATGTATGAGCAATAACCAATAAGCCAATTTTGTGAATCTCTCCTAAGCTATGGATAAATGAAAATTCTCTGCACTGACTTGATGTTTCAAGCTGGTTCTAATAATAATAAAACTTCTAGTCCAGGCCAGACACTGAACATCTAATTTAACTTGCTAGTCCATTTAGAACACGAAATTTGAAATAAAATTCTTACCTGATTCCTTTCATAAAGCATGTGATTTTTGGTGAAGTACTTATACGTGTCCCGTCCTTTTGCAAGCATACTTTGATCAATTGGATCAATGATCCCAATCACCCGAGCAAGTAATGTTGCAGGTGAATCATTATGGAAGAGGACCTACAAAATGCTTAGTTTAGCGCCACTGAAGAAATAGAAAATTAAGCATGTATTAAACAAAGAAAAGAAAGCACTCTACGAAATACAGAAATTCTACAACCACTTTCAACCAAAAACTAACAATCCCACAATTGCAAAGAAAGTCGGTGACTTCAATACTGTAATTTGATGTACTATCATCTGACCCATTAATGGTGCAGAAACAAAAATCCCCATTCTAACTTTTATAGAAGAATGGAATACATGAATAATCAGTTTCACTATCATAGAAGATCATTGCTCAAATAAAACAAACATAACACAAAGCAATGCATCGCTCAGCCAAGGAGTATGGCATCACTTCATTTACAAGGATAATCCAAGTCTATTTAATCACGAAACTTCAGTATCTGACAGATACCATTATCAAGGAGAAAGAAATAGCCTTGCTTAAAATGAATTAAATTGAACTTAACATGTGGTTTACCTAAGGTTAGAAACATTTTTATACCTTTTACACGAAAAATTTTATGGCTTAAGAGATAAATTTCTGGTACTAAAAGTAAAAACTCAACTGTTTATCAAACTTTATGCCATTTTGAACTACATTAATAATCTTTGGTCCTTACATTTCCGGTACAAAGTTCTGCCAAGATACATCCAAGTGACCAGATATCAATCTTCTTGTCATATGGAAGTCCCAAAATAACCTCAGGAGCACGATAAGACCTTGACTGAACATAAGAGCACAGGTGATCTGTTTCGAAACAACTACTTCCAAGATCAATGACCTTCACCTCACATCTACTATAGCTTTTAACCAAAATATTCTCTGGTTTCAAGTCACAGTGTATTAGTCCAAGGCTATGTAAAAACTGAAGTGCTTCCAAACACTGAATGGTAATTGACTGCACACATCAATTCAGAAGAGTTTGCACTGAGAATAGATAAGATGAAAATTAAACACCATGAAGTAAATGGCACACCACAAACCTGCAATCTTGGCATTGTAAAGTACACTTCACCACCTGATTCCCTATTAAATTTATGAAACTCATACAAGTTTGCTTTCAGCAGTTCGCATACTATTAACAAATGTTCCTGCCATACAATGAAAAAAGAATCAAGAATGGTAAAGTCAGCAGACGAATATGGTGTAAAAGTATTAATCAATAAGGCCACTCATAAATTAGCAAAAGTAGATATACAAGATAAGATAGACTGTAAAGTTAGATGACCACAGTTCAAAAAGTAAATTCTTCAAAATTCCCGTCAGTTTTTTTCTTTTTGGGGGCTAGATTTCCATACTTTTTTTAATACACAAATAGTCCTATAAGGAAATAGAATATTTGACAAAGTTTAGTGCCAGTGTTGAAGGTTTATATCATATCCAGGAATACAATGCAAATTTCCAAAATCAGAAACATTAACTCATTACACAGCAGTTTCACAGTTAAAAAATTAACAAAACCAAGTGATATTTAATATATATAGAAAAATAATAACTATAAGCAGCAGTATACAACATCACCTAAATAAACTAGGTGACAACAATATAAATAAAAGTCCAAATAGAAACTACAAAAAAGAAGAAAATATACATAACATAAAATATAGGAAATAAGTATATGTGCCTAAAATGACAACTGATTAATTAGAAAGCAAATTGTAATAGTATTCACAGAATCAATGGCAAATCCACTTACTCGATAATAGAAATAATCATATAATCGAAGAATGTGAAACTTGTCTGCAGGATCATGCTTATTGACATACTTGAGAAGCTTGATCTCATCAAGACTTTGGTCAAAAAAGTCCTTGTTGTTCTTTATAATTTTAACACAAACATCCATGCCTGTATGTAGGTCATGAGCTTGTATAGCTTTGCTAAATGCAGCAGATCCCAGATACTCAGTAACATGATACCTTCCAGCTAGTACAGAATTTAAAACAACATGGAAATTCTTGTCCTCCTCAAAGCCAGTTCTGAGCAACAAAACTTATTTAAGAAAGACTATCAAGATTAAAAAAAGGGAGAACATAGAACAATCAAGAAATCATACTTTAACATAACAAAATATCATCAGTCATCACAGGCTCATTAAGATCCCTTTACACAAGGCAAAAATTAAATGATTAAAAAAAAAGTAATGCAATCATTAGCACATATATTTCACATGATGAAAAAGAACCCCATCATTTCAACAATATCTTTGAAAGAGGTTTCTTTATAGAGAAATGCATGTTAAATTTTCTCAAATACTTATTTCTTGAAAATATGAGTATTAAGTATTAAACCAGCTTTAGAAATTCACAACGATCAACTAGTCTACAGCACAAGATTACTCTCAATAATAACTAACAAATATCATTAGTTTAAATTAAGAAAAAAATATCTAAATCTGAATTGTTGTAGACAAACATATGAACATTGCAAATTCCATGGCAACTAAATGAAGACACACACTATGTTCACAACATTGTTATGAAAAATAATGCATTTTATTCATTATGAACTGTAAACATACATTATTCACTGAGTTCTGAATGCAGCCTTATGAAAGTAGTGGAGGTTATACAAATTGAAAGGGAAATAGTAGATCAGCTTCCATCCTGAGTTTTATCCAATTTTCAGTTGATAACAGGACCAAAAATTTCATGAAATGTTTATATTAATATGGCTTTTTAACCAAGTGCCCATAGGCTAAGAAAAATGACAGTTATGATATGCAACAACAGATTTCTAATTATTATATTATGAATTTGTAAGTATAGAGAAGAAAGAAAGTTAAACTAAATGAAACTATTTCCCATATAAAAACTCGAAACAAAATTGAAGGATACACAAAGTGCATATCGAAGTATAGTTTCAAAAAAAAAAAAACTTCTAAAATAATTTCAAGTCATTTGTAAATTGAAGCAATACAAGACCCGTAAGTACCATGATTAGGATTACATAGCACAGATCAGCATATAAATACACTGTCATGCGAATACGTTTCTATCACACTGTTACACACATATTAAAAACATACCTGTTTTTCCTGTGCACAATCTTTAGATTGAAGGTTTCAAATTCCTCTTCCTGTGCCTTTATCTGCCTTACTTGCTCTTGCACAGCAGCTACCTCTTCGTCCTCTAGTGATGCTCCTAGATCATCTTCCCTTGCAATTCCAGCTTTTTCGTCCTCTTCTATCTTCACATGCTCTCTTTCAGAATATCCATAATTTGAGAGTGTTGTCGGAGAAGAGTTTGTGGATCTTACTATGTTGGCATTATTGTCATCCCTATAACTTTTAACAGGTGACGAATCGCTGCTCTTTCGCCTCCATGAAGCAAGCATGTCATCAGTTCCCATAAATGCACTAAGACAGTCATCAGTTTCATCTGCATTGCCATTATTTGACCACAAGGACTTATTGGTGGCAGCCTGAATCATCTGGTCATCCTTCAAAGATAGGGGAAATGAGAAGTTTACATCAACATGGGTTTTCTTCTGCAACTGTGCATCATTATCACATCCTATGACATATTTATTTGACTCACTCTTGTCATTGTTCTTATCTTTGTTTGATTTGTTAGTAGATTTCTTATCCAAATCATGATGAGAGTGCCTGGAACTACCAAGCCCAGCATCACGATCACAGAAATATTCTAAATCTCCTTCACTACTGCCACCAACCAAACTTTCACGCACTTCACTACCAATATCTGCAGCATCACTGTTGATCCCTACCCCAATTGACCTAACTGAACCATGTTGATCATCATCCATACTGACGTCCTCTAGCCGTGATCTCACATTATCATTCAAAACCCTCCCATCTCCTAGCATGATGAGTTCATTTGTCTGAGGAACAAAGCCGCGCCAGACCGGTTCTGCACACATCAGGTTCAATTCTTCTTCATCCATCAATTGTCCATCATATTGAGCCATTAAATCATTATCATTAGTCCTTCCATACTCAGAAACTGTTAGACCAATAGGATCATCAGTAGCTGTGACTGGTTCAACATTATTTGCCTGAAGATATCGCTCACCAGAGAAATAAGAATCCTCCTCGGCAAAAGATTGATCATCATCCTCATCTTTGGCTGGACCTCTTTCCTGAGGATCTGGAACACTTCCATGCCCAGTCCCCTTTTCATTGTCACTAGGGTAATCAATTTCATGAGCCAAAAACCAAGCCTCATCCTCAATAGGTTGTCTCATGTACCCAACATCATCATCATCATCATATTCATCAGAGTCCCAATATTCATTTGGATAGTCAATAGATTCACTCAACCCATCACCAACTGTAGCAAACCCTGATACAAGATCAGATGTATCCTCTGCTATCCCTTGACTTACAGATAACCAACTGCCCCCTGTTGCCCTTCTAATACCTAAGCATATATGAACAAGCCAAAAATCGGTACATGCAATCAGATTAAAATATCATACATAGATGTATCACAAAAATAGGATCAGTTACTGAGAAGTAAATCATCAATAAATTGTAGTTAGGTGTACCCAGAAAGTTGAGCAGATTTAGGGTCAATTCTGTAGATTCTAGATGGAGTACTCAACTCATAGCACAATGGTTATGGTACCATTTCCCTGTTTATTTTATTTTCATGATGGCAGAGGTAGAGCTAACATTGCTTTTTCAGATTATGCACAATTCTTTTTGTATAACTTTTCTTCTCTTCATTGAAAATTAGCAGAGGAAAAGAACAAAGAACCAATCTTTGCTCATTTCTTGCATCTCTATTGAGAAACTATAAGAAAATAAAAAGATATCCATAGAAACCAAAAAGAAAGTGAAATCCTGCATCAAGTCCAGAAAAAAGAATCGTTTATTTATTTCAAATTAATACCTTATTTTTCTTCACAATCATAACACTGTAAATATTCAAAAATTTGTATCTAACTTTCGAATTTTTGGCAAACCTTCTTCGAGAAATTTATCAATTAATTTCAATCTCCTTCTACAGATAACCCAAGTCCCAAAGAGAAAATTCCAAATTAAATTCCTAATCTTATTATGTACAGATCAGTACTCTGGTGGTTCAACTGGCTATTTAGAACAATTTAATATGTCAAATTGTCCAACTAGAAACATATAACCCAAAAAGAGAAACCGGAGCAACAACGAAAATCCAACATAGTTGTGTTGAATAAATAAAAGCAATTAAAACTAACTCCCCAGAATGATACAGCCCAGAAATTTTAAAACAACAAGTGCCACTAGGGAATTTGGTTAAGAAAATAACGGCAGAAAGTATTAAATGGAAAGTAAAAAAATGTAATACATTAGAACTAATAAAAACATATTTCTTACTTTCATTTCAATTAATTTAAGAAAATTAATAGAAGATGATAAATGCTCCTTAACCAGTACTCCTGGGGCATTACCAATTTACCATTCATAATCCAAACCCAAACCACACAATTTCATACATTTTGGCTAGTCAGTGGTTCATATCACGTGATAAATCACACGAGTTTGAATATTGTGATACATGCAATGCAATTCCAAAAAACCAAAACAAAACACATTATTCAATGATTCATTACTTTCTATTATTTTACTTTTTTTGCCATTTCTTATCAAAGAAATTGAAAGTCGGATAAACACAAATTGTTAAATGAAAAGGCACTAAAGGGGCATTGTTTTCTTATTCAGATTCCAGATACTCTTGGTCTTCTATTTTCATTCTTCCAACTGTTACTCATTCTATCCACTATATTTTGTTGTTCCAATGCTCCATTTTTAGTCTTCTCAAACAGAGGTTTCACTCACAATTATGACTTGTGATTTTGTTTCATGATAATTATAGTAATTTTCAAGTTTAAAATTATTACATTCAGCACTATACAGTACATCATTAATATTTTATTGGGTTTCTTACTCTTTCAATCTGATATGATTTATGATTCACAATTCAAAAATTAGCTTTAACTTCAAGATTTAAATTGCAATTTGATATCGTCAGCAAGACCCAATATGTAAATAGGCTGGGTTGGCAAAAATAGGATAAAAAGGGTACATGGGAGAAGACTATATTTACTAGGATAGAAAAAGGAACAGAAAACAAAAGTATATTTCCAAAATGGCTAAATGTACTTCATGGAACACTACTCAGAATTGTGTAGAAACTATTAAAAAAAATCACTAACAAACCCCTTAAATGGCTTTAATTGATTACTTTTGACTGACATTTCAACTATCTATAATTACTTGGACCCCTAATTATGCAGAATTGTATTTTCTAGGCTTAGTTAACTTATAGAACAGTCTATTCTTGACTAGCCAAAAATCTCACTTAAATAACACAGATATAAGATTCAAATACTGAAACCCTTAATTAAGCATACAAAATAAGCTATTAACATGACCAACCAACAAAATTAGCTACTATTGAGCCCAAAAGGGAAACCAATAATTGCATGGCAGAAAATATTTGTGATCAATGATCATATGAAAAAAATTTATCCTTGTAAATACTAAATATAAGCTAACCTGAAGGGTTAATTTCTTGTCCAATAGGTACATCCAGATATGAACCAATAAGCAATGTGCTGTCAGCACCGGGGAGTTTTGAATTTGGTCCATCTCGCTCAAACTTCTCCTCCCAATTAACAACCAAGGGCTTATCATCTGACTTGAGTTTAACCGGAGGAAGCCTGGGAAACTCTTCCTTCTGATTTTCAGGTGGAAGAGGAAAAGTTAAGCTGCCAATCATCTTCTGTTCAGAACTGCCTTGTGTCTTGACCAAGTAAATAGCCCTCCCCAATTCATCCACCTGCTCTTTTAATGATGTCCTAGTATCACAAACTTCAACCCTTTTTTTCTCCTCTTTTTTGTCAGAATAAGTGGTACCATCAAAGCTTGTAGACACATCCTCTTTTGAGAAGGGGAAGACAGTCTTGACAGAACAATCTTTGCACGAGTCTGAAGACGAATTCACATTCTCATCTGTCCTTGACCAGGGGTTATCTGCAAAGTTCCTTTTAAGAGATGAACTACTGAATTTAAGCTGCCGATCAATTTCCATAGGCTCTTTGTTTTGCGCAAGGCCATACTTAAGATCCACAGAAGCTTTACTACTACTTCCAGGCCACAAGGATTTTTTTTCAGCAAACACAGCATTTTCCTCCCCAGACTTTGAATTGGTATAGGCTGCAACTACATCAACAGCTTCATTAGTTTGACATTTTGATTGTTGAGGTATAGTGGCCTTCGAACTCAGAGTATTATTAGCCCTACTACCAAAATTGTTTTGGTACGGATCGACAAGACCATTGCTGGGGTTGAACTTCCATGAATATAAATCAAGCATACCATCCTCTGAAGTCTTAGAGAAAATGAAGTTCTTGTCACTTGTCCCGACCACTTCATCCAATTTATTCCGTTCCACGATAGGGGGAGCAGTAGTTTTCCATTTGCTTTCAGCGGCATTTGGACCATTACCACACTCTATTTCCTTCACAATCAGTTCTTTAGAAACATCAAGAGTGTCGTTAGATTCCACCCCTTGAATCCCTAGCACAGGCTTCCCCTTATTATTTTGAGAGGCGTCTCGTGAGGCCTTTTCATCCAAGGTAAGCTTCTGAAGGAAGCCATTTAAGTCAGGGCGATTATTGATCTCACTGCGCAAAGCTGCCTCAGCTCTGGTGAATCGGTTCCTCCGAAGAAAGTCCAAAATCACATCAACTGAGTTTGTGTTTGTGTCCGCCATAGTGAAGCCTAGGAGCCTAAACTCAAACAAGAAAGAAAGAATAACAGGCTTGAGACTAGAAAGTCGAAAAACAACATCTAGCATTCCAAATAAAGACTACGGACACGATTCTTCTTATAAAAAGATGATACTTTAAAAATGACGAGGCAAAGACAATGTTAGGTGGGGCTTACCTCGTATCAGGCAGAAGCAGAAGCAAATGGCGCCATTTTTGCGGGCACTAAGTAACAGTACCTGATTAAAGAAAATAAAAGTTAAAAAATGCTCCAACAAAACTTGTGAATAGAATGTTTTTCCCTCTGAAAGATGAGGAAACCTAGGTTTGAAAATCCAATTGATCCAGCAGAGCACTTAAACCCCAATGGGCAATGTAGATAAAATTGGAATACGGAAGGGTTTTCCTTTGCGAAACCCAGTCAATCAAGATCTGGAAGGATGGATTTTATCCTTTCTGGTTTAGAAGGGGCTCGAATCGTAGAAATCAAAATTAAGTTTACATAATAATAATAACAATAATAATAATAATAATAATAATAATAGAGGGAGAAGGAAGAGAAGAAGAGGACCTGTGTGCTGTGAAAGACAGTGAATTTATAAGAGAGGGGTTGGTTTCTGCCTCTGCTCAAGCCTCAGGGGCTCCGATGCTCTGCTCTGCTCTACTCTACTCTGGTGGACCAAACCAAAGCTTCCTTCGCGAATATATTCTCCTCTTTCTTTCATTATTATTTTAATTAATTAATTAATTAACGTAACAACACCTTAGTCCTTAAATATTTCCTCTTTTCAACCCAAACCCACATTTCTATTTTTTATCTCGCCCCTACTACCTTTCTTTCTCAATAAATAATCCATTTCAAAATTATGTATTATAGTCCGTAACATTTATGATTTTGAGTCCAGTTGAATAATAGCTCAAACTAATTTTACATAATTTAATAGACATTTTAATTTATAACCGAAGTTAATTATAAAGTGTATTTTAATTATATTTAATGATTTAAAATTAGTTTTAACAAATTTAAAACAAATAAATATAAATACTCTGTCTATGACAATGATGGAAACATAGCTCCACTCAGTCAACACTTTCCTTTGTAAAAATAAGTGTTCTTGATTCTATAAACATTCTATAAAAGAAAATATCATATTATTTCTTTTCACTATATTCATTTAATTTTTCATTTTATATTCGCTACGGTTTGATGGTTTATTGAATATTTATTATTTTTTTACGATCTATTGAATATTCATTAAAGTTTATTTAGTTAAGCATGTGTAATTTTTTTATTTACAACAAAATAATTCTATTGAAGTTAAAATTTAAGTCATATATATTTATATACTATTTCTATTTTATTTTATTTTTTTCTATTAAGTCAATCTTCAAAAACGTGTATTTATATGTGCAAATTTTATTCTGTTTAATTAATTTAAAAATTCATTACAAAATTTTAAATTTTAAATTTTATTATTGTCATTATAATTTTTATTAAGAAAATTTAAAAATTCACATTAATTTCGTCAACTTTTGCATTATTAAAATTTACATAATACTTGCTGTCAATTATTTTACATAATACTTCAACCATTTAAAAACAACACGCACACGCGTAATGACGTAAACATACCCGCTCCAAATTCGATGAAAATTTATCCTCGAAACTTATTTTATTTTTTAAATATACAATAATTTTGTGTCACTGTGTAATTTTGATTTTTATAAATCAATTGTATGATATATGTGATTAAGGGTCATTAATAATTAAGTTAAGTTATTGTTAAAGTAATTTTTATTCACCAAATTTAAAAAATGGTATATAAAGTTTTTAGCAAGATTTAAATTTTATAAATTTATATTTTAAAAAATTATAGAAAAGTTAGAGAGACTCTAAAATTCAAAAGAGATTCTTCTCCTTCCAACTCCAGAAAATCTTTCTAAATTATTCCTTCAACTAGACGATAGGTCATTAGATTTGAAGTTTGGAGGTCGAGAATCTAAGGTCGTGAGTGTACAAGGCTTACGTGTTCTTCTTCCTTGTCTTTTCTCATTTTTTGAGTGATTCAAGGTAAGGAGAGTTTGTTGATTGAAAATTGTTGATATATAATTGTTGTTTGCTCTTATAATCATTATTTGTAGTACAAATTGTTTGGATTTGTGAGATGATGATGTTATCTTGAGTTTTGGTTCCTTAAGAGTGTTTCGGATAGAATTGATGATCATGGAATTAAGATGAATGCATGTGATATTTTGTGTTGGAATTGTGTTATACATGTTGTGTGTGTGTTGAATATTGCATTGCATGTTTGGTTGGTCTGGATTTCTCGTAAGGTTAAGCCAAATGAAGATTGTGTCAAGTGCAAAATTTTCCATCAATCAAGCATGCTTTCATGGCATCAGATGTAACTCAAGTTAGAGACTCTCTACTCTAATCACGTCGGGTGCGAGATTGATAGCATCGGGCATGGATGAGTGAAGAGTTTTCTAATTTAGTCATGTTAAGCGTGGAATGATAGGCATCGAGCGTAATTACTTAAAGAACTCTCTAATTTGTGACGTTAAACCTTAAGATGAGTGGCGCCAAGAGTGATCAAGACAAAAGTTCTCTATCTGGATGACACCGAACACAAGTTTGATGGTGTTAAGTGTGTGTCATGTAAAGGCTCTCTATATGAATGAGGTTGGGCATAAGTTCATCTACACCAAACATGATTGTCTTAGAGACTCTCTACCTCATCCATGTCAAACTCAGGTGGATTGGCACTAGGCATAGTTTGCTAAATAAAAACTAGTTGATATTTGATTAAGTGTTGAGAAGGAATGTAATATGTCTATTACTCACATGGTTTGTGTTGTGGCCTGATTATAATTCATTATGCATTGATATATGATGATTTATAATGATATTTAAAGTTATTTTAGTTGTGAGTTGCTTATGATTGGAAGTTGTTTTGAGTTGTTAAATTGTATGTTGATAGTTGCTTGAAGTTGATTAAGTTGTTGAGTTGTATAGGCATCTAATGTTGAGATACATATGTCTTAGTCGAGATATATAAAAACTAGAGGAAAGTAAAATTATTTTTAACTTTGGTGAGTAAGTTGACTTTTGAATGGACAGTTGTTTTTAAGATATTTTCTCTAGGTTTTATCTGAAAATTGTATGGGTCAAGTCAAGCCATACTAGTTTTTAAGTGACTAAATGTTGATTCATATAGAGGCAAGATTGAGTTATATGTGTATAAAGTGACCAACTAAGTAAAGTGTAAAATCGATAGATAAAATCCTTAACTGATTGTTGGAAAGGTGCATAGTATTTAAAGAGTAGCCAACAAACTAATCCCATACGAGGCTTAGATATGGATGTTAAGATTCTGGTAGGCCCACACCTAAGTTGTTTTGCCCTAACAATAGTAATAAATTTTCCTATTTTAAGCGGTGAAACTTAAGAAATTAGTTTAAATTGTTTACTAGGTACTTTGAAAGGCCTAACATTGTATCTATTTGATTTGGTTGTAATGGGTCAAACGTAGTGATTCGGTAGGATCAACCCACTTAGATTGTTTGCCTTTATTGTAAGAGATCTCTATAAGTTGATATGCGTGACAATGCATTAGTTGTTTATATTGTGATTAAAGTTGTTTATGTTGTGAATGTTGCTTATGTTGTAAGTTGTATTTGAAGAATGTAAGTTGTATTTGAAGAATGTAAGTTGTATATGGTGTTGATAAACCGATGTTGTGTTATGAATTAGCATGATGTTGCTTGAGTTTATTATGTGGTTTAAGTTGTAAATTTATACTGTTGTTGTTCTGCATATTATTTCACAAGTATACCCTTTATTTTTATTGTAATTGGATTGCAATGATCATATTTAGTATGGAAGTATGACAAAAATAGCTTGGAAGGTTGGCTTGTGGGTGGATGGTCATGTTGGAGACGATCGATTTTGTTTATAATGCTCTTATGTAGTGATTGTTGTATAGACACACTTACCGGGAATAAGGTCATGTTGTTTACAGTTTTGGTATATTTGATATATGTTGTGTATATGTACAGGAATCGTGTGTAACTCTTTAAGGAGATTTATGTTTCCATTTATATTGCATATATATGTTGCATAAATGTTTAGGTGATTGTTACATGAGATCTTTAGTGTAGTTGAGTAACTTATGTTTTTTCATTACATAATTACTATGCTATATTAAGGATAGTGACTTATCAAATTGTTACAAATTTCACGTAAAAAAACTTACCGATACAAATAATTAATATTTATTTAAAAAAAATTAGATCCAAAGTGGTTTGACTCTCAATAAAGTTTTTGACTCATCTTTCTTATAAGACACGATCCAAATAAACTTTTTATAGATTTAGGTTTAACAACTAGGTCTATACTTTGAGGATAGTTTGAATAATCTTTTTGACTATCTCAATCTGGTTTAATATTACGTATTTAACAATTGTTAAATAATTATGTATTAATAACATAATTTTTGACTAAATAAATAATGTTTTATCTATTATGATATTATATTTATTTCATTACTACTTATCTTGAAATATATATCATAAAAATCTACATTAACTATAGTTGAGTAATTTTTTAATTTTGCAAGTTAACTACAATGTTAAAATTAATATATCATGCTAACAGACTAACTTCACATGATTTTGTCCATTATTTGTTAAGTTTTTATCAAGTAATATTTAGATTCACAAAATCCTCCCTATCAAATTTTCAGGTTAAATAGAGACAAGTCAACCTATTCCACACATCTCCAACTTTCAAGTTTTGATTAAAACAAACATATAATAATAATAATAATAATTAATAGACATTAGATAATTAAATGGGACATGTAAGAGAGCTACTATTATCGCATTATCTTCCCTAAATATATTTAAGTCAACTTAGCTACATAACAACATCCAACTTTTTAAGTTTTACATCTTACAAGTAAATACTTATATAATGGATATAATTTGAAGCTAAAAGAACAAGCTTCCACATTCAAGGTCAAAATGACATGATTCTAGAGTAAAAATGATATGAATCCAAACACAATTTAACAATCTTTATAATCACTAAAAAATGCAACAAGACCTTTTTAATGAAACATTATGTGACAAAATTATTAATTTAAATTAAATGTGTGAAAAATAATGTTCAAAAATTTAAAATGACACACTAAATATAAACATTGATAATCATCATAATTATTATCCAAGTACTGAAATTATAGTAATATATTATAAAGTCAAAAACTAACATTAGCTGATATAAATGGTAATAACTTGTATTGTTTATCAAATTATCTACTATTCAGATTGTAGCTTTAAATATGAAATAGACTATGTTAAGACAAAAATACTCACTTCGTACGTGTTCATAAGAATTTTTGAGAATTTTTCTATAAAATAAAAAAATATTTTTAACATAAATATTCTTAAAATTCTTTATAAATTTGTATCCAAACATACTTTATAATCATTGCACCTACCAATTAATTTACATGCTAGATAGAATATATTATACTTGATATTAGTAGCATTTGTTATTTAAATTTAAATAATTTTCAAAATAAAAATATATTAGAATTGTAAGATGGAAAACAAATGTATTATTTTTTTGGGTGAATACAAAGATATTACACTTTAGTGAAATATAAGGTTAGGAAACAAAATCAGGACTTTAACATTCATAAAAAAAAAAAACAGATGCGAGATTTTTTTTATGTTTTATTTTATTATGAGTTTGTTTATAGGTAGTATCTAACAAGTTTTCCATCTTTAGTAGAAAAATGTGAATTTAACAAAGGAAGATAGTAGATAAAAGATTAATTATTTTTGTATATATATATATATATAGGAGGGTTCAAATAACATTGGTGTAACTTTTACTATGAATTTTGTATATATATTTATATTAATTATGAATTTTGTAAATCTAACCGTTAGATTGAAAATTCACAATTAATATAAAGTTATTGAGTGATGTAACACTTAGTAAAAGTTACATTGGTGTCATTTGAACCCTCCTCGTATAAATGATTTGATACTTCATTTTTATAAAACAAAATTGACGTAATATATTCATTTCAAAATACACTAAAATATGAACACTTTGATTACCTTCAAGTTGTTGTTCAATTTTAACAAAATTTAATATACATATATAAAATGATATGAATTTCTAATCTAACGGTTGAATTTACAAAATTCATAATTAATATAAAGTTATTAAACGATGTAAAAAGTTACACCGATATTATTTGAACCCTCCTTTTATATATATATATATATATTGTGTGGTTGATGAGCAATAGCTATAATAACAATCGCATTGTGGAGTGGCGAGGAACTAATGGATGGAAGGTAGAATTTGGTGAACATCGAAGATGACTGCAACTGCAGCTGGAGTCGCCGTATCTTTGGGGATACTCAGTAGTTACTGTTACACTCACCCAGTGCCAGTAAGCATAGCCTTCATTAATCTCTCTACAATTCTAATTCTGTTGTCAATGCATTTAATTCACTTATCCTTCTTCAAAGGAATTTCATTCTTCTACGCGCATTCGCAATCGGAGCAGGAAACTCTTTCGTCGAAAAAGGTTTTCTGTTGAAGCCGCAAATTCAAATTCAATTTCTTCCCGTGGAGGTACCTATGACTATGACTTTGATCCGGAGCTGCGATCGGTGCTTGAACTTGCCACCGATTCCGAGTTGTACGAGATTGAAACAATCCTTTTCGGCCCAAGGTCACTTTCACTTTCACTACTTTTATTCATTCATTCCCCTTTTCAATTTTTTTTTTAACCTCACTCTATCTCTCTCAGCTACTTGAGTCCTTTGCTCAAATCCATTCCATTCGCAAACACAAGTGATCTCGACCGTTCCATGATTGGAGTCGACCTTCGACAACGCCAACAATTTATAGAAGCTCTCGAGTCCCGATTTTTCTTCCTTGCTGCTGATGCCCGCTCCACATTAAGGTTTTTCTTCTCCCTTTTCTCTTTCATTTATCATCACCTCATATATCTATTACTCATTTCCAGGGGTTGGAGGCCATCTTATAGAAACGTCTTGCTTCAGATAAGGAAAAAATTGAATATTCCTTGCTCAACCCAATTGTCAACTCACGACCTTGAACTCGAAATTTTCCTCCACCTTTTGCACTGCAACTCAACGTTAGTAAACTAACCCCTTTTTTGGCTATATAAACACAAAGCAAAATCAAAATGAGATCTTTTATATGTCTCTCTCTTATCGTCGTCTAAAGCTTGAATAGTCTTGTAGTGAAGAATCAGGAGACTACCCTGGCTTATTGGACGCAAGCACTGCATCTGATAGTCAGGGAAATCTACAACATGGACTCAGTCAATGGAAAGTTCAGTCCAAAGTTGGGGCCGAAGACATTCGATCAATTATTTTGAAGGTTGTTTTACTTGCTACTTAAATGATTTACTTCTCCTGTGACTATATTTAGTTTGATCTTAACTTTTAGCTGATGTGTTTTTTCTTTTTCCATTTTTGTTCCTGTTCTTTTAAAGGGAGGTGGTGTATTTACATTGGGAAAGATATATCAATTGGTAAGAAAATGATATTTGTGTTTTATTTACTCTCAAATCTTTAGGATGTGTTTGGATAAACTTCTTCATAAACACTTTTTAGTTCTAAGAGAAAAAAAATAGAAAAGAAACATGAAATAAGTTTCTCCTAGTTAAAACTAGCTTATGCATATAAGTCTTTGAAGAAGCTAATATAAGAAAGTTTCTACAAATTAACTTATGCATGAACTAATTTTAGTTTATGGACTCCAAACTTATTTTATTTTTCCTTCTTATTTTCTTCTCCTAAGAATGCTTATGGAAAAGTTCATCCTAACATGCCCTTAATGTGCCTCCAAACAAAACCATTTTGGGCCTCTTCCCCTATTCATGACTGGATGCTAACTTGTAGTTAGTGAGGAAATTATCTGGGAAAGTTCTTGTTGAAGCTGCCAACTATCAGGTTAAGAAAGACTTAATGAAGAAGGTATGCATTGGTACTGGAGGGAGTTTTGGTAGCACTAGTATTTCCCAAGAATAACTTTGACATCCAGTTTGTGCTTTATGATTTACAGGGTGGGCAATTAGCTATGATTAATCTAGAATCCAGAGCAGCCTTGCTTGCAGCAAAACAGGTGCCTGGCAACACAAATTTTTTTGATGTACTGTTATGCAATTTTTTTTTGGTAGGAATGTATTCTAGGGGTCTGAAATTTATAAGTTTATTTTCATATTGATAGATAGATTAACTTTTCAAAGCCTTAATGTGTTATGTCATAAGTCATAACTAAGAGTTTGGAATGTCTACTTCATATGTATGTATCAATTAAATAGCCAAATATGAATGAGTTTAAATTTTGATTCTTCATCATTGTACAACCTTATACACTATCAGTTTTTAAAATACAGTCACACCATTCAAGGAGCCAAAACATTTTGTAGTAAAAGACATGATTTCAGATTTCAGTAAAGAACAGTGGATCAAAATTAAATTTGATATGTATTACAGATTTCAGCGAGTTTATGTAGACATTTCTGAATCAACTTAAGTATAATAATAGTAATGATTATTTAGTTCTAGTACAACAAAAAAACATAAATATTATGATTTCTTATGAAACACTTTCTTTTATGATTTCTTAGTAGTTATATCAGTGGAACTAGTTATTTTCTTTGTCTTTTATGTGTATTATTTTCTTTTATTATGTACTAAAACAAATTACTTTTTCAGTTTTTGTTGATTTATAGCATGTTTCTCATCTGAAGTTTGATTTAATCCAGGGTTTTCTAGGTGCGGCGTCAAGATATCTGGGCTTTAGAAGCATGATCACATTACTTGGACCTGTGTATGTCATCCACCTGGTTTTGTTTTTATAATTCCAATTTGTTACTGCTTTGTATCTTCATAATACTAGCTTTTCTTCTGTTTGTTTAACATTGATATGAATTATGAAATAATATTTAATAAAGTCTTTTGCTCATATAAAAATGAGAGATTGTTATGAACCTAGGAAGGAGAGCTAATAAATTGATAGAAACAAACAAAGTAAACTGATAATATTATCGAGCAACATCTGAGAGAGTAAGAGAAAGCATTCTCCTTTGTACTGCATGGATAAAGGTACGGGATATGCTAATTTTCAAAAATCTAGGGTACGGGTAATTATATTTTTAATTATATAAACCTAAGTAAATTGTATAAATGATAAAAAAAAACACAAATAAACAAGACATTTGTCACTTGAAATATAATATTAACAATAAAAATCTTAACACCTAAAACATAATTATAATATAACTCTTAAACTATGATATCACACTTCAATTGTGAGACATATCACACTTTAATAGTTTTAATCTTTTCGTTTCTTTGTCTATCAACTGTGAGCATTCTCTCAGCAAGAATGTAATTCTTATAAATTGTAACTAGGTAGAAGAAAACCCGAGATAAAAGTGTTTGCAGCATATGTGAAGGCATTGATATAATAAAGATTCCTAACAATATTAAATGGCAAACCAGCAGAATAAAATAGCCTAGCTATTTCACAAGATAAATAATCTCTAGCCTCATTATTGAAAGCCTTTTCTAATGGTCCTTCTATGCCTCTTCTTCTCTTGCTTCCATTTACATGTGGATTCAAGCTTGTAGTTCCTGTGGGTAAAGGTACTTGCACAGGCTTTGCTTTCTCAATGGCCTCTAAGTCAGTTTGTGTCATCTCAGCAAGGCTCTCATGTGATACTTTAGAACAAATAGCAATTCCCTTACCTTTTTCCTTCAATAAATGGCTCCTCACTCAAGAATAAGAACCCTTATTAGATGAATTAAAATAGTTGCAAAGCTAACTGTGTCACTTGCAAAACCCCTATTAAATTGTTGGGAAGACATTTGTAATAGAAACTTGTGGAAAAAAATGTAAAATACAGAAATTGTATTGTGAAAACATCAACAATGAATTGAACAGATTAATGTGAAAACATCAATACAGAGTTGAATAGATTAATTTGAATATTAGAGATCAATTAAAAGTACATAATGGTGAATGCTTTAGGAGATTGAGTCTCGAATGTTTTATGCGTTGAAGTCATTGATGAGTTATGTCATGTCACTCGTGGATTAGAATTGAGATATGAGAGCAATTAGGAAAACTAGAGAACCTAATTATTTAGATATATATATATATATAGATATAGATATATATAAATAGATGGAGGTTATAATTACACTGGTGTAACTTTTACTAAGTATTACACCATTCAATAACTCTATATTAAATGTGAATTTTGTAAATCCAACCGTTAGATTGAAAGATCATGTCACTTTATATGTATATATCAAATTTTGTTAAAATTGAACAACTTGAAGGTAATCAAAGTGTTCATATTTTAGTATATTTTGAAATGAATATATTACGTTAATTTTTTTTTATAAGGATGAAATATCAAATCATCTTGGATTAATAAATTTTTTTGTATATATGATCTAAGAGTAAAGAACTTTCAATCTAACGGTTAGATTTTCAAAATTTACATTTAGTATAGAATTATTGAACGGTGTAATACTTAGTAAAAAATTACACCGGTATTATTATAACCCTCCTTATATATATATATATAGGGTTTATTTTTGGACTTGAGTACAAGACTAATACGTATCCAAAAACTACCTATATGTGTACCCAAATTTAGTACCCACTTTTTTTTTATTATTTATAAAACAAAGAGTGTTTTGGGTGCATACCTACAAGTACCCAACAAGTAAAGTACCAGATATGGGTAAGTACCCATATGTGTACGACATGAAGTTTGAAGCACCCATGCTTAGAGATTCTCCTTCATGAGGTTATATTTTAGAAAGGATTTTCCTTTTCATACAAACTTTCTAATTCTATGTATAGGAATGCTAACAATACACTCTTTATTACTAACTATTGGGTAATTTTCATGTGGGACCCAATAAATAGGGAGTGGTGCCTACATCATTAAGTGTGTCCTACATGAATTTCACATAATAGTAAAGAGTAAGTTACATATTGTGTTCCTAGCATTTGTCTTAATATAACCAATCCCTTCTGACTAACTAATTGTTCTAATCTTCCCTAATACCCCTCCCTTCTATCCTAACAATATCCCCCCTTCTTCCTAAAATTCAAGCTTGTTCTCAAGAGTCAAGGTTGAATTTGAATTCTGCTAAAAATGAATAAGAGATATTTTCTCCCAGATAGCTTTTTTCACTGCCTTCAACTGGGAGTTGTGACAAATATGGTGATTGTGGACAGCAAAGGCACCAATCTGCTTCATAACAAAACAGGGGTGTCCTTTCAAATGACAATTTGTTTTTCCATAGATGTAGGCTAGGCCCATTAGTTTAAAATGACCTCAGTTGGCAGCTTTGCAATGTCTCATCCCCTTCATGAACCCAATATCTGGACAAAGTTGGGCGTCACTCATTTGGTAATAAAAAACAGCCCTTTTTTTTTTTAATTTCAATTATTGCCCTTGTTGCATGATCCTCATGAATAGCGTTGTTGTCCTGTTCCAAAGCAAACATGGGGAGTAATCCAGACCAACAAATATCTCGGCATGCAAGGTGCTGTTTGTTCCATTGGCTTCCATGCAATGACTCTGATCTTTATACAGTGGTAGGCTTACTGGACTGTTCAAAATTTCCTTGCCTTCAAGGGTTACTTCCACTTATGTGGGTACCAAAACATGACCTAGAAGGGTGATGAAGCAGCAGCCTTTGCCACATTCCCCTAGCATACACCTTTGATGGCTAGCACTCTCCTCCACCAATGCCTGTTGCCTGACATTGTATACAGATATTATCCACCAATGCCTGGAAACAGTATGCCGTTGCTCCATCTCAATCTTTGTCTTCTGCCTCTATTTTCTCTACCACTGAATCTGTTTCTCTCACTTCATCTTCTAGCACCAATGCCAATGCCAAATTGTTTTATATTTTGTTTCTTGTTCTTCTAGCACCCAATCCAATGGGCCACTGCCATTGAAACTAGTCAATTCCACCATATTCGCTCAAGACTGAGACTTGTAATTGCCAAGCATTGAACCCCTTCCATTCACATTTTAATGCTGCCTGTTTTGCAATGAGTGACTATTGTGCTTTAGCACTTTCCTCCTTGAGATTGATTCGCTGTTTCTTCAGTAACTTACGCAACATCTGCTTAAGTTCTTCAATTCTGTAATTTGTAAATACTCTTGATATCAGAAATGCTGGAATCTGATGAAGGCTATGGTCCCAATCTCTGCTTTACTTCATTGGTTATTTCTTTCCCATCAACAAATCTGGAAGATCCAAGCAATTTTTACGAGCCAACTAAACAGAAACAAGAATTTGATAGAGTTACAGGATACATTTTTATTGAATGATTTAGAATAGGAAAAAGAGTTCTCTTGCAAGGTTTACCCTATAACTTGCTGCTCCAACTGTTCTTACTGTCCTTTACCACTTTTTCCTTCCCTTTAGTCCTAACAGATATTTTTTGCACATTGATAAAAATCTCAGCTTCAGTGCTTGCTCACATTCTACATGGATGAATTTATTACACATTTTTGTTGACCTTATGAATCCATCTTTTCACTTCCTGTAAACAAATTAGAAGTGCTTCCTTCTCGATGACGATAATTAGCTGTGGTAGTGTTTATGTTGCAATTTTTGCAAAGACCCATCTACATCATGGGTTCTTTTATGATAATATGCATGAAAGAGATTTTAAAAACTAATTTACCTTTCTACTCTTATAAATTTTAAATTTAAATACATAAGCAAGGAAATTTTAGACATTATATTCAAAATATTTTAAAACTTCTCTCACTTCCAGATCCCCCTTATATTAGAGGATAGCTAAAATTATATGAGGAGTTTTGCTCTCTTACTAAAAATTGAACCAAATAAAAAAAGTTTAAAAAATATCTCCTTTTCCTCCAATCAAACACTATAAGAATGAAAAAAAAAAAAAAAAAACAACTTCTAACCCTCCTCCTTTAGGTTTTCTTGAAGTGTCAGAGATTATGTGGGGCATTTTTACTGATTAAGTTTTACCATATTTTTCTGTGCGTCTTAAAGAACCAGTAAACTTAGTCTTATTTTTCAGTGTACAACGGAGCCATTTTTTAATGTCCACTAGTATCAACAGTCATTAGAAACTTTTTTGAAGTCATTAGTAAACTAAACTAACTACTATATCTTTTTTTATACGATGCACCATTAAGACTTGTCAGCAGTTTTTCCACTACCTCTATGCTTTCATATTTCGGTACTATCTGAGTCACAATTAGCGAGTATTTCTGAACATTTTATTTGGCTCGTGGAACAGGCTTTGGGGAACATTTTTGGCTGATCTTGTCATTCAAATGCTTGGAACAGATTATGCTAGAATCTTGAGAACAATTTATGCTTTGGCTCAGGCAAGATATATGTTCTATTCTTGGATTTTAAGCTGGCAGCCTTACTAGATCCTAGGTTTACCTGCCTGCCCAACTTGATACTCCTATGATTTACTTTATGCTGTGCTTATTTGGTTATTTTATTTATTAAGAGCACTTGGGATCTTCGATCTACATTTTTTTCTTAGTTTATTGTTGACCTTTGGGGGCAAAGGACGATATGGGCATAGCCATCTGTTCCATGTGTAGAGTAACATGGTGATTTCACGTGGGTGTTCTGATAGAGTCAGTGCTAGTCATCCATGGATGTTCTGTTGTGGTTTCTTGGAGAAAATGTTCACCTTTTGAATTTCAGTTTTCATGTAGAAATATAAGTGATACTGAGATAATGTCGAGGAATTACTATTGCTAGTTTTCTGACTTCCACTTTTTTTTGCTTCAGATTCGAGCGATCCGCACGTATCGGCTGCCTTCTGAAGTTACTGATGAATCATTGAATAGTTAAGGAATTTCATTTCATTGATTTAGAAGTTAAGGATTTTGGGCCTTGTAGTAGCTTTTGGACGAATGTCATGTTTAGGTAAACAGTTTTAGAGCAAGACAATCTCCACTCTTGAAAATTTGTAAATAACTAGGTATTAGTGTCTGTGCATAACTTTTTACAGCTGATTTACATTCTTCCTCCGAGGACTTATTTAATTTTGGTAGATATAATTGGAGATGGACTAGTCGATTTTGTCGTGCGTGGTGCTGTAGTTTCCTTTTCTGTTTTTTTTTTTTGATGTCGAGTTTCCTTTTCTGTTTGAATTAGAGCCTGTTTATATAAAAGCGCAAGTATAAAAGTAATGAAGCTTCCAATACTTGAAAAAGATTTAATTTCAAACAGTTTTGTCTTTCCAACTTTGCGCTGCTGTTGGCATCTTGTCCCTAGTACTGACTACTAAATGACCGGAAATTTTTTTGCACATTTGCAGTTTGATATTTTCTGTTTGTATAACTTCTTTGCTAAAATAATAATAAGGCTTAAAATGTAATTTCGATTTCCTATATATCATTGGTGTACAATTTTGGTTCTTCAATTTTTTTATGGAACAAACTTAGTTTGATAAATATTGTAATAGGGCAATTTTAATATATCTTTAAGTTTATCATTAAAAATTTAATGGATTTTGCTGACAAAATATTGGGGAAAATTATCATAAAATTAGATATGATATTTTAAACCATCAATAATTGACGACACTTTTTCACTAAATCAACCTGTTTCTTTGTTACATAAATGAAAATGATAATATACACACCTTAAATGAGAATTAAAGTTATACATATATTTATTATTATTAAATAAAAACATTTGAATTAAAAAAGAGATGAAATTATACCAATTAATATATTTTTTTTATAATTATTGTATCGTTTAAATTATATAATTATTGACCTATTTTTTTTTCTTCATATTATTTAAGTTACATATAGATATATATATATATATATATATTATTAAATAAACAAATTTATATATATTATCTATACTAATAATAAATCTCATTTTCAAAATTGTTGGCCTCCATTGTCGACCTACGGATATTTTCACACACTTCTATGGACGATGCAAAGTAATCCTAAAGTGTCCAGTTCGAAACCATAACTATAATCCTTCGCTCTCTGCTTGGCTTTTGAATACTTCTGTCTATTTCAAGGTCAAAAAGATCAAATATAAATATAAAAATAAAATTATAGTAGTTTGAGATGTTAAATAAATTGTTTTTTTAACTAGTTACATGAGTAATGTGTAATTTGTAAAATACACATTGAAATGAATGAATAGAGAAAACATTAAAAATGTTTAATTGAAAAAATGGAGAAAATTTACTGATTAAGTTGAATTTAATTTAACTCATAATTTTAAAAAATAGGTATATGCATATGTATTGATTCAAATATTTAAATGGTATAGATCAATTAATTTAACTATAGTAAATTTCGTTATTATCTATGTAAAAGAATTGAAAATATAAATTGAAATTGAAATATGTGAAAGTGATTGAAGTTTGTTTGAGAAGATTTGTGATCATAGTTGGTTGTCCCCTGTATAGAAAGCATGCAGAAACTTTAACATGCATGTTTTGCGTAACTGTCCTCAAATATGCAATACATATACAGTACAGGGAACGTTTCTTGAGACGGTATATATAATAAATATAATGTATCTTCTTATTTATACCATGATTTCGAATGTCAGGGTTGGTCCACTACGTTCGGCTTTAGCGTTTGGACCATTTGGCAGGAGTGAAATAATTAGTCATCCAACCTATTGTCTTAAATATTTCAAAGGTTAAATTGTCTTTATCCTCTCTCCCTTTGAACCTAATTTTGCCACACTTGTTGCTACTGTCCTGTCAAAGTGCAACCAAAAATCTATAAATTGCTCTTCAACATTACTACAAAGAGCAATGATATATCTTTCGAAATTTGTTTTTGGTTCCTTTTGAATAATGTTTGAGTTAATCTTCATGAGGTAATAAAACATGCGATTGATTCAAAGAAGATATACGTTAAGAATTGGACTTGTGAGGTTGAGATTTCTCTTTCATATTTGTAGATAATAAACCAAAGAACAATGATATGAATCAAGAAGATAAAATTATATAAATTACTAAAGAAACATACCTAAATGCACTAAAAAAAATGCAGAAAATTAAGAGAATTAAATTCCTTTATTTTTAAATTAATCAAATCAAATTCATATTTTAATTTTCTTCCATAAAAATATCTGAAACTCATTTTTTTTTTTTATAAATTGAATGGATCAAATTATTTTATAAAATATGATAAACAAAATGAAAGCTGATTAATACTCAAAGTGAAAGACAAGTTTAAGATCCCTTCTGCTGCAGGAGAGGGATAAACCATGGTCCTTTGTTTGAAAGGAGGATTGTTGAAATGCAAGCAAAGTCCTACATCATTCAAACAAGAAGATGTACATGAGTTTATGTGTGTAGTAACCCCCAGTGCACTATAGTTAACTCTAACATCATCAAACCTGAGCTAATGTATGTTATATAATTATAAATGATGTCAACCATCTTAATTAAAAGATATAAAATATATTTCTTAATTGATATAAAAGAAATATATTTATCAATAAAAAATTATGATGATAGAACTACAAGAAATATTATAGCGACATATAAAAAGTGTTATTATAAATATAATATATATATATATATATATATAGTGTATTATTATAATTTATATTCATGTTTTTTAATAATTATAAAAATATAATTGTTAATAAAAATATATTTTAATAATAAATATTATGTCATTATATAGTATATAATATTTTGTAGTTGATTATTTATATATATTTTTTACTCTAAGAATCATTTAAGAAAAAGAGAATTGCTTCCTGATAAAATTGAGAGTTTGATTCTTTTTAAAACTGTATATGGAACAAAGGCTACATTTGAGCATAAGTTTCTTTTACAAAGAAGGAACTTTTTTAACTTTTGGATTGGAAGCTTTGAGTTTTTGACTTGCGGACTAGCTCAAGCAAATTGCTCTTTAGTATTTAAAGATATGTCTTCCCCACACACATGGTTTGTTTCTTAAGCTATAACTATTCAACTGATTACCAGAGAAAATTCAGGGGGATCAAGTGGGTTGTGGATCAAAAAAGATGCCCAAAAGTTGGGGAGGGTCCCAATACCAAAATTGATGATTAGGGTTTGTTGGCCAAATTAAACTTTTTCTTGCAACGAATTAATTGGATGTGGATAACCTTACCGTGTCAAAAAAATTTACACAGCGCGACAAATTCATGGAACCTTTAGATCCTTCCTAGCAAAGCACATGTCAATTCATGGAAACTTTTGTGTTGTAAATTACTTGGTTATCTTTATTCTTTCTATTGTGTGTGACATGTTACCACTTGTAATTTTTTTTTCGTCACTTTTTGTTTGTTTACTTTCTGAGATTCAAGAAAGCACAGAACTTTGATCCATTTGCTGTCGTGTCATAATTCATGTAATACGACCCAGGTGCCCGAATTACGTGTCAGCGATGTGATGTTGGTTTCGTGAGAGTTTCATGCACTTGTGTGTGAGCATAAGTCCTTACTTTTCGCTTGTTTGTCTTTCATGTGAGATGATCCTGCCACTATCATGGTTGAACTTGAAGGTGATGGAGAGGCACACGGAGTCTAAAATTATGTCATCTTCTCATAAAAGAGTTCACATTACAACCAAAAAGACAAAGGGATGAAAAGAAAATAAACAAATGAAAATATTTAAGGTAAAACAACCCTCATCTTCCACAATGGAAATAAAGGAATTAAGCCTTGCCTTGACCCTGAGCTAGTGTGAGTTGTGTATATTTATCTAGATATAAGGGAGAGAAGATATATAAATTGGAGAGCTAGGGTCCTAGGGATCGAGATGGAATAAATGTAAGATCAAAATATGGAATAGAAAGAAGACCAACACCTCCCTAGTGTTAATTTGTTGCCTTTAATGTGCATATCATACATAATTTATTATTTAATTAGCTTCTTCAAGATAAAATTAAAACTGAATTGCGTGCTGACAGCTTCCTCCTACCCTTATTAGTTTTGATCTTTTTTTGTCAGACAACGGAACTGGTGGACTATCCACTACAACAAAATTTGTTATTAGTGACAATTATTTAATAGCAATAATTTAACTATCGTCATATGTAAAAATATTAATGGCTAATATATAATAGTCACTAAATATGTATTTATATTACACTAAAATTTATTATTAGCGACAATTATTTATTAAAAAAAACTTAAGTTCCATATTGATTAGAAATAAAATAATTAAATAGTATATAAGTGAGTAATAAATATCACCTTACAAGTTCATTTTATAGGATTGACTCCTAATTCACTATTCTAAATTGGTATCAAATCACTCATTGTTACCAAGTTCAATAGTGCTATAAAACAATTAGAGAACAATTTTCACCTTATAAATCTCACATCTCTAAAAAGATAAGACAATTAAAAAATAAATTAAAATATATATAAATAAAAGACAACTCTCATCTTACAAATCTTACATCGAGTAGAGATAAAAAAGTATATAAATTATGAATTTAGAAAATGAAATTATAGGAATAAATTATTTAAAGTAAATGAGACAATTGAAAAAAATAACTTTTAATAACATTTAAAACGGCTACTAGAATTGCCACTAAAAAAATAAGTTTTTTCGACAATTTAGTAGATCTTTACCATTTTATATAAATGTCAGTAATAGTATTAGCGACACTGGATACACCAGTCATTAGTTAAATACTGGTAAAAAAAATGATCATTTATATGGCTGCTAAATGGTAGCTAGGGCACAACATAGTACAGTGGATGAGGTTATTGCATTTAACTGCTCGATTCAGGAAATGATGTTGAAATAGCAACACGGAAATATTCAGAATGATCCCTGCATAAGAACTTAGAAGAGTCCCGCTCTAAGTAAGCAAGTGTTCTTACCGGGAATCCGAGGTAGGGATGATCCGCTGGGTAAGATCGGTGAGCCTTCTTCGCTGGTACGCATGCTGCTCCAAGATGGGGGTGGTACCTGCAAAAGAGACTCTGATGCCAAAGTTAGGGTTTGTATGAGTATGAGTCTCGTATAAGTAATGCACGTACCTTGGTGTGAATTAGGGTTTCGTTGGGCCTTGGGCCCGAGATCAGTTTATGACCTAATTGGATAGCGAG